CCCTCTCCCCACCTCAGCCCCTCTCCCACCTCCGCAGGTCCCGATCACGCTCGGTGTCTTCCTCAACTCCTACTACGACGTGAAGTTCAGCGTCCTGGGCATGGTGTTCGCCACCTTGGGCGTCCTGGTGACCTCCCTCTACCAAGTGGTGAGTGGCAGTGTGGGGGGAGCTTTGTGCCTGGGTGGTCGTCTAGGTTTGATGGCCTTTGTGTACCATCCTGCCTTGCTGAGCTTTAAAAAACGCACCAAACGGCGATAACCTGCCGTAACCCCTAATAAATTAAGGAGTGTATTATCTTTGCTGCTGAGAATTGGGATGTCATCTCTAACGTGAGTGTACAAAGGGGCAGAGATGGCTTTAGTGGTAGAACTTCTTTTTCTAGAGAGAATAGATGTTCTCCTTGCTGAAGCAAGTGCCTTGCATTTGTGCCTTTCCCTAGAAAGGATGTTTTCGAGTCTTTCAGTTAATCCCATAGTTTATCCTTGAGCTAGTTACAGCTATTTATCAGCATCCTTCAATTTCAACTCTACATGTTCTAAGGTGTTTTTGGAGAGGGTGCATTAATACTTATGCACTTATACACACAATACAAACTTTCTGGATGATGATGGTTTTAAAAATATGTTCAAGGACTGCCTTAGTCCTTCCACTGTAACATCATATTAGGAGCTCAACCAGTTCTTTATTGGCTGTGACTGTAAAAGCCTCCCAAGTTTGAATCCCCTGTCATGCTGATGTGATAGTTGGCCATTTAAACTTGAATTTCTTCGTAACAGGTGTACTGTGCCTCCAAAAAGAAGAGAGGCTGTTTGACCCATAGAATGTAAGATGATAAATGATGGTCTCTTGCCCTGTTTTGGGGCAGGAGGAGAGAGATGCTGCCTAACCACTTTAAATGATGGTGTGTGTACTGGAGAAATTACAGTACTGGAATGAAATTACTCTGTAATGTTGAAAAAAACCAAACTCAACCTTAGCAAGTTTCTATGCTGGAATCCATGTGACTTAACGTGATTGATGAAGTATTAAATGTCAGTCTTCAGTACAATATAAAGATGCATCTTTTTGGCTGTAACATGTATCTTTGTAGCCACAGATAATCAATATTTCTTAAATCACGCTACCTTGAAAACTGAAGTTTGAAGTATAGTCAATCTTGAATGAAATCCATTGAATCTGGAATAAACTAACAAAAGAAAGACAAACGTTTACTGGTTTTGTTAGCTAGTATGTGGAGGAAAATGAGAAGCAAGGACCAGGAGCAGATCTCTGCTTAGGCAAAGGTACTCAGCTCCATCACAGACACCGCCTGGAATTTGTGTTGAGAATGAAAGGGAGTTAGCATTTTCTCCCCAGCTCTGCTACTTTTTTGTTCTTCCTCAAGTACAATACCCTCAGGCTATGGAAAAAGGAAATTTTGGGCACTCAGGATTTTTTCACTGCCCTTGTATACGATTTTCTCCTCGTGGCTTTTGTGCTTGCAGGAACCACATGGAGCCTCCAGTCAGGCAGAGGTGAGGCTCAGCAATCTGTTTATGTAGCACTGTCCACGTGAGACTCCCTCTGTGTTAGTAGCCAGTTTGCTTTTGCTCAAGTTTTCAATCTGTTGGTTTTTTCCCCTCATGTTTAACACCTTTCTCTTTTGGTTTTAGTGGGTAGGTGCTAAGCAGCATGAGTTGCAGGTAAACTCTATGCAGTTGCTGTACTATCAGGCACCAATGTCCTCAGCCATGTTGTTGTTCATCATACCCTTCTTCGAGCCAGTCTTTGGAGAAGGGGGAATATTTGGGCCCTGGACACTTTCTGCTGTGGTAAGGCTTTTATTGACTTGGTTTAAATAATTAGCACTGGTGTAGTTAAATTTGACATTTTTGTACAGCCACAGATCTTTGTACAGACATTGGCTATGATGAGAGGGGCAAGTGCAGGAGCAAAAAAAACCCGTTATGAGTCTGTCACACTTCCTCTGAGAGGAGTGAGTCTGTCAATGGATTTATCTCCTTATTCTTGTTTCTGTTTAGAGGGCGTCTGAGCAACAGAAAAATCTCTCAAAATCCGGAAGCTTCCCCTAGTGTATTAAATTAAAAATATGTAAGTGCTTTAATTCCAGCACTGTCCACTCAAGAGAAAGAGATAAGCATGCTCACTTTTGACACTCTCGACTCCTCTTCTATGGAAGGATGCCAACTCTGGTTGTTCTCTAGAATTGGTGGTTTATTTTCACCAGAAGTCTATAATTTCTTTCCATATCCTTCTGTCTGGAAGGCATATTCTTAACACTGCTGTTTGTGCCCCTCAGCAATGGGTTATTTCTTCTAGCACTGCAGATTATGAATGGGATAGCAAGTATTTGCAGTAACAAAATATTTTGCTAAAATAGTTTTTGTGTTGGCCATAAATTAGACTTTGTCTCAAGGGTAAGAATCCAACCTCTGTGTGTATGAGTAGCCAGATTTTCCAGATCAACCTTAAATGTTCGTCGAGAGTAAAGGAGAAAATGCTTGTGGTTCTATCAGTGTATATTTAAGGACATCATATCCTGATCTGCTTATACACATCACCAGGGTCTGTACTGATTTGAAGCTGTTTCTATTTTTGTTCTCTATATGTTTTTCTTGCCTGATATTTTGTGTTTCAAAGTAAACGAAACTAAATAAATAAGCCAGAATGTGTCTACAAATGGCCAAAAGCAGGTCAGATTACTGACTGTGTCCATTAATCCACAGATAATGGTACTGCTGTCTGGAATAATAGCCTTCATGGTAAACTTGTCCATTTACTGGATCATTGGAAATACATCACCTGTCACGTATCCTTTGTAACATTTGTCATTTTTCCTGTTTCCAGGTGAATTAAGTGAGAATTCATTTGGGCTGATTTACTGTGGGAGAATTGTTGGGTAACCTGCCTGCTTTATCTTAAATGATGAAGCTGGAAAAGCATGTTCATGTGTTAGTGTATTTTGCTCCTTTGGGATTTGTGTAAGTAATGGTGGTTAATCAATGACCTTTATACCTGCAAAGAATATTAACCCACACTTTGGCTACCTTGAGGACGTGTCAGCCAGTTTGTAGTGTACAATGGGTGAAAGGCTTTAAGTGGAGGTTAATACAGCCACAGGGATGCATGAAAATTCCATAAATTGGAGTCAACACAGCATATCCATTGCATGCTTTGGATGTAATTACTGGAATTTCCAAATGTTTGTTTTTACAAAAAATAATGCTGCTATTTGCTATTCTCCTTAACAGATGTCTAGGTACAACATGTTTGGACATTTCAAGTTCTGCATCACCCTCCTGGGAGGATGCCTCTTATTTAAGGATCCGCTGTCCATTAATCAAGGCCTTGGGATTCTGTGCACATTGTTCGGCATTTTAGCTTACACTCACTTCAAGCTTAACGAGCAAGAAAACAGTAAGAGTAAATTGGTCCAGCGTCCATAAAGCGAGAGTTTCTGAACACTGTTGTGAAGGAAAACAGTCTTTAAATGTGCATTGATTCTAGAATGCACAAAATTGCCTCATTCATTTCGATCTATGGTTTTATTTTAACCATCAGGATTGTTATTCTCTAACTAAACCAAACGAACTGAATTATGTAAAATGCTGGGGGTTTGCCCATCTCAGTCCCTCCTATCGTTTTCACTAAATTTAAACGGTAACTTGAAAAAGGCATACTACAAATTGCTGTGGAAATTGTACCGAAGTAATTATATTTTTTGCATACCAAATGAGAGCATGATGGCTACAGTTATAATAGAGTGAAAGAAAAGGAATCCTGTCTCTGTGATCACGCCAGTATTGCTGTTGTGAAGACACTTGGAGGCACTTTTTTGCTGATGTTATGGTATGTAGTGATGCTTCCTCCTTTTTGTCTGGTGAGCAAAGAAGAGGGAAACATTCTTTGTCCAGTCATTTCAAAAAGGGCCACCAAGCTCATTCCTATTTCTTGTATGCTTTCTTATCTCTCTTTGGCTTCAACAGAGGGATAGATTTTTGGCTGGAGAAAGTAGATATAATTACAGATGGGCAACTGGAAAACTTGAAGCCACATGCTGAGGTATAGAAGAGTAGGGAATCCGATCTAAACAGTTCATCTTCATTTTTTCTTTTAGTCCATCAGGACATCAATGACATATTTCATGTTTTGAAAAATTTTGTTACTGCTTTAGAATTTTCTCTGTGCCAAAACCAAGACTTTACATGAGATCTTGTAAATACTCATGAGCCTAATAAAATCCTTGATTTTTGTGGTAATAACCAAATATTTTGCAAGCCTTGCACACAGACACCCATACTAAAAAATATTTTGGAGAAATCTTCGGAAAGGTCACCATTTATAAGGGCATGAAGTTGCCCAGTTCTCTCTCCTGCCTTCAGCCCCAGCTCCCTCACTCCCACACCTTTCCCCAAGAGTTACCTTGGATGGGATCTGCAGGTTTGTCTGTTACTGTTCCAGGGGAGAGGCCCAGTCTGGGCAGTGCTGGGCAGGCAGCATTTCCCCAGCACAGTCCTGGGACATGGAATAGAGGGTCTGAAGAGTGCAAGGTGGGCCCTGCTTCTGCTCTAATTCAGACATTCTTTGCAAATTATTTTATGACAGTAGCAAGCACTCATTTTGGCAACGTGGATGGAAGAAGTTGAGTGCTGTTCTAGTTTAAAAAAGGAAAGAAAAAATAACTGCTTTCAGTAAATCTGGAGGGAACATATGTTCGCTAGATTTGCTGGGTTAGAATTTAATTGCAGTATCTTAATCCTTACATGTTGGGGTTTGTATTATCTCCATCTACCTCTAGCAGATTTAAAGGGGGAATTATGTGAAGAAAAACAGGTATTTAAGTTTTGCAGCCACGACAGAAGTAAGATTTAGTTCCTCCAAGCTTTTCACAATAGAGGTAAGAAATCCTAAGTGTAGGAAACAATGCAGCTTTTCTCAAGCTTGTAAATTATTTATTCTGATTCAGAGTTCTTGATTTAAGAAAAAGTTATTTCTCCATATAACCTGTGTTTACACTGTAATGCTCTTTATCGTTTCAGAGTTGGAAATACTGGAATAGTTTTACATCTTTTCCATCTGTTTCTTGGGCATTGTACTGGTCCGAGGATGGGTTTTAATACATTTTTATAGATCTATATAATTAGTTTAAAAATATAAAATGACATAATAATGTCGCCTTTGACTTCGGTAATTTGGTGCTTGTTCGACAGATTTTTGCATCTGGTTTTGCACAACTTCCTAAATTCTTGCAGGCTGTGGGGGCACTGTGCCAGAGGAGTTTTCCTGTTGGTGGCTGAACAGCTACTCTCTCAGGCTTGAGGTTGAAGGAGAGTGTTTTGCTGCTGTTACATATATGAAAGGGAGGTTTGTCTTGCAGGAACTCTACCTTCAAGACAGAAATTCAATTCAGAAGGACTGTATCCTCTTTCTCTCTCATTTCAGGAGATGAATGTCCAGCAATGGCCCAGGACTAAAGCAGTATTAAAGCCTTGTTTGGGCTACTCATAGGTTTATATTAAACTTTTTAAAAATATTAATGATAGTCTATGCTGGTTAAGTATTAAAAGTCTCATTTTTATAATGTCTTACATAATAGGAGCTTCAGAAGAGTGCTTTGTAACATCTTGGAGTACAGCTAATGTCTAACCCATGTCTAGTTTGTCAAATCTGCAAAATCTATCAGATTATGATGAATTTCATAACTGTCTGTATATGTCTGTGCAGTTGTGCTGCTGAGGAGGGCCCTGTTCTTGAGCAATACTGTGCTGCTGAACACTGGCACACTGTTAAGGTGTTTAGTAGTGACTTGGAAACGTCTGGCCTGAAATTCACCAGTGTGCTTGGGAAAGGATAAAGAAGGCTCACTCCGATAGGCAAGAGAGCCTTTTCTGTTCCTGCTTTTAACAGCAGACAGTGTGGCTGGCAGGTTAAGAGAATTTGGAGAGCAGGCCTTAGTGTCCCTCAAATCACCTTCCAGACTGATTTTTCTCCCAAGATATTTGTTTTGCTCTCAGTTACACAGTTACCTGGATGTTAAAAGAAGCAGAGTTTGGATTACAGACTTGCAGGTGTTTGCTTGTGTTATAGGGTTTTTTCCTCATAAAATTTTATTTTATGCTTTCAAAACCCAACTTCCCTGTTTAATAAGAAAATAAGAGAACTTTTGAATAAATGAAAAGTAAACATATATAGAGAAGATATGTTTTGTTTTGCACAAGATTTACACTCTTATAACTGTAAAGGTTCAGATCTTTGTTTTGCTACCACTGCAGTCAAGCAGGTGCTCCATACAAAGTCACTCTCTTCCTGCTGGTGCTTTCTCTCTGATCACAGTCTCAGCATTCCATCTAACAGCTCACTTGCCACAAACATGATTGGGATGTCAGCCACAGAAGGTTAAGAACACAAAAGGAAAAACACTGGGAGCTGATACAACCTTGGGTAATGAGAAATTGCATTCTAAGACAGAGGCATCTTGCCTAACAGATCTGTGCTAAGCCTCAGGGTCAGGTGTGGGTTTGTCTCCAGGCAGGTACTGCAAAGAATGCAAGACCTAGGTTGTTTGAGTTCTTGCTGTGCTGCAGTAGTGACAAATGAAATATAAACTAGTTTTCAGTAATATAAAAATTTAAAATATAAATGCCATGAAAAAAAAAAGTGAGATTCAGACAGCCTAAAGTCTTTGCCAGGCTCATCCCACAACAATGGTTAACCTTCCTAAGAGAAGGGAGCTATTGCCCCACCTCCCCTGGCCCAGTGATGCTAGAGGCTTAGTGAAGGAGGAGTTGTTTTCCTTAAAGCTGCTCTGCTTTTTTTCAGCTGTATCAGTTGGGCCAATGAAAACATAACACCTCTCCCTACGGCGCGTGTCTCACTGGAGTTACTGTTTCTGCTTTCATCTAACTGAGTTGGATCATTCTCCTGTCTTCAGTAAGAAGACCTGAAAGGTGTAATGGACCCTGGAAGTAGAATGTGCTCCATTGCCTCGTGTAACTGCAGTGTCCAGTCAGTCCTGCTCTAGGGGATCCAGCCCAGCCCAGCGGGTCATAGTTACAGTCTGCAGTGCAACAAGGACTGAAGAAAGGGGAAATGTGATCCCTTTCGTTGTTTTAGTTGCAAGGCAGCTTCTAATACTTTCCAATTTTAATCTTTGTCATTTCTCTTTAGCAGATGCATTTTTCAGTCTGCCCTGTCTGCGTAATTATGACATACTTTAGGGAATTCTGGAATTGAGACAGTAATTGTATCACTACTCAAATACACTGACCTCACTCAGTGTTGCTGGTTTTTACCTAGGGACCCTTGCCTGCCTTACAATCCAGAAAAAAAATTAAGTTATTAAAATACACGAGGAGTCAGGTTAACCTGAATCAAGAGGTAATTTGCCAGCTCTGGAGTTGCATGTGCCTTCCCAGCTGCACTAACTCAGTACCCAATAAGCAGAGTATCCTGCTTTTATAATGGAAAGGCAGGAACAGACGTGGGCAGATGAAACATAATGTAATGAAAGTAGATCATGTATTTAGAAGCAAGTAGTGGGAACAATCCAAAGGTTGCTTAAGGAATGGCATTGCAAAGATGTTTTCTGATCTGTTAGTGGCTTCACTGGAACATGAATACAAGCCTTTCATTCAAAGGCATGTGGTTATATTTAAGGAGCTCCAAGAGGTCCAGCGTGGCTGTGTGGGTAACTAGCACGTGCAGGATGCACATGCAGGCTAGCAGTGTGTCAGAAAAGAGCAGCACTATTTTTAGAAATGTAGACGCCTCTGTCTCATCCAGGAAGTGCAGGGAGGAGATCTTTGGTTGAAGCACAGCACAAGAATGTAATTGTTAATGACCTTGGCACAGAAAACTTGTAGTGTTTTACTTTCTTACAAAGCAAAGACTGAGAAGCTCACTTGTTTAAAGGTGCTGTCTTCTGATCAGATGAAGCACATGGAGTAATCATGGACACTGGGACTGTAGAACAGAGGTGGTTGTGATACAAGGAAAAAAAAGTGAGGCAATGGATTAAGAAACAACTGAGAAGAGTATACAGCACATGTACGTCTAGCTAGGCTTTTAAAGATAAGGTCTAAGTTGAGATACTTAACTCCATGATTAGGCAGCTGAATAGTAGGGCTAGAATTGTCAGTGAACTTCCCTTCCAGTAGTACTTAATAGAGAATGGCACTGGCTCAGCATTTGGAGAAACAAAGCTGCATAGTTTACAAGTTTGATCTTTTTTGTCTCCAACTAAATTAGGTATGTTATAAAGAAACTGAGTCCTTGTTCTGCTTCCTTACTCTGCCCGTAATGTTTTTAATCTTCCTTACTCTCCGGGAAAAAATAATCCATTTGCACTCTTTTTTTTCTGTTGCATAACTGACTGACTGAATTTTGTTTTATAACACACCAAAGTTGCATATTAAAAGCTTTGATGAAGATCTTGTCATTTATCTACACGTGCACATTCACTCAGGTTTCTGTTTTTGAGCCGAATGGAAAAAGCCTCTCCATCTCCTATTATACAGCATCAACTGTTGTGA